CAGGAGGTTTTTTAGGAATGTTAGAAGGAATTACAGTTTCCTGGTTAGTATCAATATAAGAAGGTTTTTTAGGAAGTGGTGGACCTGAGTTTCTATCATTAATTTCAGGAATGATTTTTGAAACAGACGGATTGGTGGATTCTGAACCAGCTCGATGGTGAATTATATTTGCGTTATCAGAATGAATTTGAGTTGAGAAATTATCGGAATTAATTTGGGCTGAAGAATTAACAGATGAGGAGACAAAATTTTTTGGTTTTTTTCCAAAAAGATCTTGTGGCTTTGAAAAGAAAGAAGTCTTTGAATTCTTTGGCATTTCATCAAGTTCCACATTAATATATTCAATCGAAGGTCGTTCTTGAGGATGAAAACTCCAAGCTTGTTGATAAAGTAATTGATATCTTTCTGGAGTATCTGGAACTGGAATTTCATGTTCTGGTTTATTCTTTAAATCCATGGCAGTTTTGTTTTTGAAAGGATTTTGATTACTTGATATTTCCCAGAGAATCATTCCAAAACTGTATATATCAGATGCTTTATCTCGTTTGTAACCATTATTTTTTAAACACATCGGATCTATATATGCTGCCATTCCTTTTGTAAAAGGATCCCATCCAAGAAGACTTGATTTTGATATTCCAAAGTCACTAATCATCATTCGATCCCCGTGTACCAATACATTATTTGGATTCTGTAATGTAAATATAATTATTGATAGTATATAATTAATAAATAAAATAAATTAATTAAAAACAAAAATTCTTACCAGATCTCTATGAGCAATATTTTGATCGTGGATAGCTTTAAGCCCATTAGCAATTTGCTTTCCAATAGAGATCTTTTTTTTCCAATCAAGATTTTTAAAATTTTGGCGAAGATAATCCCTTAGATTTCCATCTTTGGCATACTCCAATATCATGAAGTGTTTTATTTGTCCTTTATAATAAGGCAAGAGTTTTAATACAGCAATAAATTAAATAAAAGTAATTAATTAATTAATAAATTAATTTACCTTTACTAACACCATAAAATTTAGCAACGTTATTATCTTTAATAACTTGAGTTGATTGAAACTATTTATTACAAAAGTTATTAGCATAAAGAATAGGAGTAAATGAAATTGAAATAAATAAATAGAACTTCATTAAACAGAGGTTAATAAACTTACTTTACGAATAAATTCTTCAAATGAAGAACAATCATTTCCCACGGGAAAAATATCGAAAGTTTTTAATGCAACAACTTGACCAGAATGATTCCAGTAAGCTTTGAAAACTTCACTTTTTACTTCTTGCTTAACTTCTTCGATATCAGAAAATGAGTCGTAATCTATTGAATTTATGTAGCCGTCGTCTAAAGCTTTTTTTAGATATTGATTCATTTTAACTGTTTAACTGTTAAATAAAGATTTAAAATAATAGTGCTATAAGTGAAGCAAGAAAAAATTTTTGGAATATCAAAATCACAAAGAGTAAAGTTATTTAAAAAAGAGAGAGCATTAATTATTAAAGATTGGGTTTTTTCGTTATTCCATAACGAAGTATAAGTTGATTTTTAAAAATATAGGATTTTTTTTTTCTTATAAACAAATTTGTTTATAAATATAAACCACAAAGAGCATGGTTACACGATGACAGAAAATCCATAGATTACCGGCTTTTATGCATTATAAATTACTTGTTTTGATCATTACTAAATTGAGAACTTTCATTATGACTACAGTTCAAATTGATTGTTATAATATATGATCACAAATGTGCTATGTTAGTTTATTTATAGTACTGGTTACAAATATAATCAAATTAAGACGTTAAAGTAAATATGACCATTCTCGAAGACTTCGGAATTCTTCGGAATTTCATTTCCTACAAAATGTCAGCCTATCACATAGAATAATAGTATGATCTGACTTTGATTAAATGAGTGTCTACAAAAGAACGTTACAGGTTTTTCGAAGGCTTCACTCAAATGGCAATATACCAAGAATACCAAGAATGCAGATTAAAGGATCATTTTTTCTGGCGTTATTACAGATCTTTAGTCAAAAGTCTCGTCACAAGACTCACTAAACTAGAGAGCTTAAAAAGAATTTAGGAATTTCATTTATACAAATATATTTAAAATTCTTCCGACGAACTTTAACAATCAAATAAGTATATACGCATGCATTTAACGTACTGTACAGTACATACGCACATAAGTTCCATCACTGATATTGATTATCTATTTCATCTTGTTCTTTCCTTAAAAATAAATTTTAAAAATGCAGAACAAAAGAAGTAAAAACTTTCATGCTAAATATTTCTATTTACTTATTTCCTAATTTAGAAATCGAAATGTCTTAAAAAATTGGGTATTAAAAATTTCAAATCAGCTTGTATAAACCAATTACATTTAGGATTGAAATGACTAAGCAGACTGGTTCGGAGATTTTGGTCCGTAGTATAAAGGCATATGTACATACGTATGTACATACGTACGTACAGTACGTCCTAATGTACTGTACATCTGAAATTTTTGTCTAACTGTAATGAACAGCTTAAATCGAAAATTCTTACATTATGCATGGGCATGATGTACATTCTTAGAGTTCTATAAATGAGTGCTACCTATATATGCCGTAGAAACTATTTTATATTGGCCGGACGTATCTCGGCACTATGAAATTGCATTTGCCGAGGTGTTTCAGAAACTTCATATTTACCGAAATACTTTATGACGTATATAGTGTTACCAAGAGAAAATGAGGCTTCGAGCTTTCAATTTTATCATTTAATATTTGGGGGGGTGTCAATAGAAACCAAGCAAATCAAAAATTTTTCAAAAATGAGTTTTTTTGCTTAACTATTGTAAAAATTAGTGAAGAACATTTTTAATTTAGTAATGAACTTCTTATCAATTAATAAAATTTTGAGATATTCGTGTTTAAAGAATTTGGCCCGAAATAGATCATCCGATCTTAGTTAGATCGGAAATGATCAACCAATAGCAATAGAAATCGCACATCTATTTAAGTTAAAGACCCGTACACGTCAAAAGCTTACAGTTTTAAAGTAGAAATCTTGTGCGATTTTGAAAGCGATCTTGGAGGGCTTTAAAGTGAACCTTTTAATACTATAGTGTTCGATAGCTCAAAACCGTATTTAGATCACGAACTAATCTTTATTTTACTTTTTTCTCATTTATCTTATTACTAAATTTAGGTGGCTTTTGAGCAGGAATGTCAACTTCCACATGTGTGGACAGTTTTGGAGGCAATGGCGTCAAAAACAAACAACTGTTTTGGTTTGGAGCTAGCATTATTTAAATTTACAAAATGTATTAGTGCTTTTTTTTTTTTTTACAACTAACAGGAATGTATTAGTATTTCTTTACAGTAATGCCAAATTTAGGACCAGAGTAGTGTTAGAATTAGTAATATAGAATCGCTTTAAGGTAAGTAGTTATTGAATAAATAATTGCAGGTTATTATTGAAAACACTCTATTAAAATAGCTATTTATTTAATGAATATCACTATATAAAAGTTTCGCACACCAATAACTACAAAAATTATAACTTTGTCGCCACCTTTAACTTACATGCTTAAATAATAATGTATTTGTTAGTGAAATGTTCTGTAGGTAAAATGTGCTATTAGAAAAATAGCTTTTGTGAGACTGTAATTATTTAAAAGGTATGAACGTATATAATATAATTTGTACTTTATTTTTTAAAAGTACAAAATTTTGAATTATTATTCTGATAATATATGAAAGAATTAAGATCATTAGTTTTACTTAGATTCATGAGAACTTTTAGATTTGGTAGGTTTGGGAAGGGTTGGTTTTGCGCAATAAATATCACGCTTTAATGGATTTTGTATATGTTGTCGTACTTCATTGTACAAATACCACTGCCGGTCTAAGCTTATTCCACGTGCAGACATAACTTCCGGCATTATTATCTCCCCATTTTCCATGCGAGGAATTGAATTAACACGTGCGATATTTATTTCATTTGGTGATGCATCTGTTGATGTTTGAACTATTACCTTTCCAACATTTTCATGTGATATGATAAATTGGTGTTGCTTAAGGATTTCTGAAATTGTTGAAAAGAATTGATCTAAAAATTTTGACCATTTATAAAAATATATTTTTCTTCTTCCTTCAGAATCATAGATAGTTGCCGCTTGGTTATACCCCCCGATCGAAGATTGTTGAACTACACTGATTAAATCTGTTAAATCATCCACTTCAGAGTTTCGAAGTTTAAGTTTGAAAAGGCCAAAGAACCCATCTGGACTAAATTTCGTATATCCCGCAACTATAAAACAATAGGTTATTTTATCGTGAAGACCATTCATCACCCTCCACATCAAATATTTAATCATCGCATTGTTCTTATTTTGTCCAACGCAGTTATTAGCATGTATTACAACAGATTTTTCCCCAAAACCATACAAAGCAAAATAGTTATGTATGTTGTGCCTCAGACTAACGCTTGCCTCAGATCACAGTTGACGCACCTCCGATTCAGATCGTCAGGTGAGGTGCATAACTACGTATTGATCTACTATTGATATATCTAAACTGCAATTTGACGAAAGTAAGAGTAAAATAAATTGAATAATGACTTGGACGCTTTTTTTATTCTTGCTTTCTTGAATCTCTTCGACGTTTTTTTTCTTATTGGTAGCATTCAGTACCTCTATTCTTTTCTTTAAATTTCTTTTCTTTAAATTTCTTTTCTTGAATTTTCGTTGCACATTCTATTCCCAATTAAT